TAATCACATCTAGGAAATGTGGGGCGGTGCCTTGCCCGGAATCCCTGAGGATAGTGAAGTCAACAGTCCTTTAGGCTTCGAAAGTAGATTTTTTGTTGTTATTGTTGAGACGGAGTCTTGTCCCGGCGCCAGGCAGGAGTGTAGTGGCGTGATCTCGGCGCATTACAACCTCTGCCTCCCGGGTTCAAGCGATTCTCCTGCCTCAGCCTCCCGAGTCGCTTGGGACTGCAGGCGTGCGTCACCATGCCCAGCTAATTTTTGTATTTTGTATTTTGTATTTTTAGTAGAGACGGGATTTCACCATGTTGGCCAGGATGGTCTCGATTTCTTGACCTCGTGATCCGCCCACGTCAGCCTCCCAAAGTGTTGAGATTACAGGTGTGAGCCACCACGCCCGTCTGAAAGTAGATCTTTTTAGACTCGACCCTGATTTCCTCTTCAGGTTTAAGATGGTAGCATCCGTTTTGCAGGATTGTTCTGAAAAATCAGGTCCTCTTTTTAGAGTACCTGGCAGGTTGCTTGGCATCCAGAAGATGTTTAGCAAAGAGTTTCCTTCTTTCTTCTTCCTTCTCTCCTCCAACCTTAACACCTAGATGTGGGCTGGGCCCATAGACTGACTGCCTTGGAATAGGTTGGAGCTGCTTTCTGAAACTTGCTGAGCTACTTTTCCTTTAAACTGCTTTTTGTCTGCTCTGATTCACTCTTCCATTCCAGGGCCTTGCCCGAGATGGACAGCCGGATTCCTTATGATGACTACCCGGTGGTTTTTCTGCCTGCCTATGAGAATCCTCCAGCATGGATTCCTCCTCATGAGGTGGGAATCATCTGTATTCCTGAGTAGGAGACTTCCCCCCCCCCCCCCCCCGCCCCCGGGATGAGATGATGCATGAAAGGTAGGATGGCAGGGTTAGAAGGCGAAATGGAGAGTGAATCTTAGCACTTGTAGCCAGAGGACCCAGAAGCTGGATTCTGAGCAACAGGACCCACCAGGTACTTCTTAGGGTCCATTCACACCAGTTAATTCTGGAAATTTGGAACCTTCCTTTCCATATTGTTAAGAGGTGAAGAAATGTGGAGCTACTGGGCTGTCCCAATGCTATCCATCTACTCATTTAGTCAGTGTTGTCTGTTCTACTTAAATTAAGTCTATGACCTTTCCTTTTTCTGACTTCAGGGTGATTCATTAGTGTTCCAGGTGAAGGTAAGTGTGAAGTAAGACTGGTAATAAAATTTCTGGGGTTGCTGTGTCTTGCAGAGGGTACACCACCCAGACTACAACAATGAGTTGACCCAGTTTCTGCCCCGAACCATCACACTGAAGAAGCCTCCTGGAGCTCAGGTGAACTTATGAAGTCTTTTTCCAGGCTAGATTCGTCCATACCAGAAGTTGGCAGTGTTGGGGGGATAGATTGGGAAGCAGGTGCAGATGTGAGGAAACTTTCCTTCTTGTGGACAGAAAAGCTGAGATAACACTTCTACAACTTCTGACTTTCCTCTCAGGGACACACAAGCAGACCTATAGCACAATGATGCTACTAGTTGTTCTTGTGTTTGTTGTCTCTATTGAGCCCCTATTCTGTGCTCTTGTCTTACAGTTGGGATTTAACATCCGAGGAGGAAAGGCCTCCCAGCTAGGCATCTTCATCTCTAAGGTATGCATGCCCAGTAGACTATATGACGTCCCTTTGTTGAAGTAACAGATTGCAGAACCCTAATGTCTCAAGGGCTGAGAGGATGACTCAGACTCATAGAAGGAGCATAATGGGGACACCCCCTTTCCCACTTAAAACTTTTCATTCGGCAGGCGATCTGTCCGCATACCTTGTCACAGAAAAACAATAGCACCTTACATTTGAATAGCACCAAATTCCACTGACAGTCTTCTGAAATTATTGCATCCCAATCACATGTATTCTCTCCTTACCAACAGGTGATTCCTGACTCTGATGCACATAGAGCAGGACTTCAGGAAGGGGACCAAGTTTTAGCTGTGAATGATGTGGATTTCCAAGATATTGAGCACAGCAAGGTGAGCACAGCACTTGGGCTGTGGTACTGCAAGAAACCATCTCAAATAGGACAGATTGGACAGGAGTAGCCTCGTCTGTAACTTAATAAGAAAGTGTTTTGCTGGGCACTGTGGTGCGTGTCTATAATCCCAGATACTTAGGAGGCTGAGGCAAGAGGATCACCTGAGCCCAGGAGTTTAAGACCAGCCTAGGCAACGTAGCAAGACCTTGTCTCAAAAAAAAAAAAAAAAAAAAAAGAGACAAAGTAAGTACCTGTCCTGGGAAAGTGTACCAAAGGGAAGCAGCTCTTAGTGACACAGAGATTGGAGTGGCAAATCCCTTTCCCCCATTATGATTCTGCCTTGGGTCATGTTTCTTCATTTGTACAAGCTGCTGTGTTGCTTCCAGGCTGTTGAGATCCTGAAGACAGCTCGTGAAATCAGCATGCGTGTCCGCTTCTTTCCCTACAGTAAGTGTCACTTTCTTTTTTCACTTTCCTGACAGGACCCTAGGTAAGAATTCTTTCAGTTCTGATTACTAGAGGCCCTACAAGTTGGGGATAGGGAATCAGGAGCTCAAGTGTGAAGATAACCTACTCTGTTCCTCCTTTTCTTCTTCTTTCCTTCAGATTATCATCGCCAAAAGGAGCGGACTGTGCACTAGAGACTTGCAGCCCACAGCCCTTCATGTGGACTCTGCCACGACTGCTAACTAGACTTCAGGGGAGCTACTTATACTTTCAGCACTTCCTGTAATAGTGAAGTTGATAGGATGGGGAGACAGCTAACCAACTGCATTACCCAAACTGTATTGCACTTTTGGTTCCCTACTTTTCTAGGTGAGCTTCATTCCCTGAAAGGAGAAGGATGATGATATCTAGGCATAACCTAGCCTGTGAGGAATGTAGTTAGGAAAGACAACTGACATTTATTGAATACCATGTACTAGTCCCTTACACATGTCATATTTTAATTATGAAAATCAGTAGCAAAAAGAATCTTGGGGATTTCCCATCTGACTTGCCTGGCCATCGCATCCCATCCTTGTACTACCAGAGGTTTCATACACTTTGGAGACTCCAATGAGACCGTTTTCACTTATTCCTCCTCTTAGCCTCTCCCCCCAAAAGTAAAACACAGTGCTGAAGAAATACTGGTGTGACTTTTTTTTTTTTTTTTTTTTGAGACGGAGTTTCGCTCTTGTTACCCAGGCTGGAGTGCAATGGCGCGATCTCGGCTCACCGCAACCTCCGCCTCCTGGGTTCAGGCAGTTCTCCTGCCTCAGCCTCCTGAGTAGCTGGGATTACAGGCACGCGCCACCATGCCCAGCTAATTTTTTGTAGTTTTAGTAGAGACGGGGTTTCACCATGTTGACCAGGATGGTCTTGATCTCTTGACCTCGTGATCCACCCGCCTCGGCCTCCCAAAGTGCTGGGATTTTGAATGCTACCGATTGGATGTCAAATGCTACCAAGGGAAGAAAAAGCTCTTCCAAAGAGAGGAGCCGCTGGAAGGAACAGCAACACTATACCTACCTCACAATTACCTATGATGTCTGGCCAGAACATTAGGGAGGCCGAAGAACTTTAACCACAGTATAACCAAGGAATGGCATAGAGTGAAGGACACTGAAAAAACTGCGCCTTCACCTACAAGCTTTGAACATTTTTCTGCAGGGACCAGTATTAATATAATTCTCTCTTCTCCTTTCCCACATTCTTTGATCTGGATCATAAACGAAAGAAGGGGCTTAGATGCATTTCTTTTCTGAAGCAGCAGTAATAAATTGGTTCCCAGTTTCCAACTTGTAAGTTGAGTAGTACTAACTGCTGACTTCTCCCTTTTCTTCACCCCAGCCCCAAAATAATGTTCTGCCATGTTTTTAGATATTTAGCTACCAATCCACCATAACTAGATTATCAGTTACACCTATGACATCACCACTGGCATGTTCAAAATACACATGTGGAATTTAAAGTTTTCTAGTGTGAGGCTGGGGGCCGTGGCTCACACCTGTAATCCCAACACCTTGGGAGGCTAGGGCAAATGGATCGCTTGGGGCCAAGAGTTTGAGAACAGCATGGCCAACATGGTAAAACTGTCTCTAATAAAACTACAAAAATAAGTTGGGTGTGGTCGTATGTGCCTATAATCCCAGCTACTTGAAAGGCTGAGGCAGGAGGATAGTTTAAACCCGGTAGGCGGACATTGCGGTGAGCCTAGATTGTGCCACTACACTCCAGCCTGGGTGAAAGAGTGAGACTGTGTCTCAAATAAAAGTTTTCTTGTGTGATACGAGGTGATGTACCCAAAGGATGAAGGCCCAAAATTTGCCTTGAAAGAATCATAGGGAATTTAAATATATATTTATAGACCCTTCAACTGGACAATGATTCTGTGGGTCTGAGGTGCGGTCTGGATATCTGGATTTTTAAGCAAAGTATGTAAGTCTTGAAATATGTGAAACAATGTTCTACATAGTAGTACTATACTGTATGAGGAAGTTCTGGTTCTTCCTATATATCTGACCCCAGCTCTACTGAGATACCTCTTCTAGAGCCTCAGTGCTATTGTTAGGTAGCAACATACCTTGACAGCAGAGCTGGAGGTAGAATTAATGTAGCTGTCTCTATACTTCCTGGGAAATTCTGTTCTATGCTCCTATTTGCTGATCCCCACCCAATCCCATTGGCCACAAGAGAAAGAAAATAGTAGCTTGGTTACTTCCATAAAGGCACATTGGCTCACTCGGCTGAATGCTGAGGTCTAAGACTATCCCTATGGTTAACAGGTCAAAAACAATTCATCTAAGAAGTATGACAAACATGATACAAAGTCCCATCCAGGTTCCAGGGGCCTAAGAGGCAGAAACCCTCCTGTAAATTGGTTCTCAATTAAGACACGTGGAATGGTTCTGCTGGGGCATCAACACGAGATAATTACATTGTGAAAATATAGGTATAGTGTGTAGAAAGCACAAGCAATAACAGCCTTAGGTTAAAGGACCAGTCATTTATTGAGGGTGTAGGTGAAAAACAACAACAAACAGTGGAGATTGAATTGTATCTGCCTTCGAAGTATGTCAGCTGCTGTAGAACTGTATTCTCTATAGATATATTTTAGCCATCTGAGAAAGTAAGGTAGAATTGCCAGGTGCCGCAAGAAGCTTCTGCCCAGTAGCTGTGAGATGCAGTCAGAAAAATATGATAGCACTGTCAGGGGTTCCGTTTTTACCCCAAGGCTAGGAACTGGAAGCCAGTAAGCGGCCATGTATCATAAAACGAGGTGGGGGAGAACTGGTGTGGCAAGCCCAGATGCAAGAAACCCATGAAATGAGGCAGAGAAACCCTAAGCTGTCACTGGGAACAGTAGTTTCTGTTGCCTGACTCCTCGAAGGGCTCCAGTTGGATTTCAACTGCTGAAGTGTGTGTTAAGGAAGGTAATACAGTGAGGTGACTGGAGTCAAATCTCAACACCCAGGGTCAGCTTCTAGGAGATGTAGAAGAGGAATTCTGATCTTACAATCCCCCTCACCTAAAGGCAAACCAAGGAACTACTGTAGGCTAAAGTCAGACCAAACCTTAAGTACTACTCAGGCATCAAGTCAACAAAGGAAACTTACCTTCCCTACTTGTATACTCCCTACCCCAGCAAAAGTAGGAAAAAAGGATACGCCCCTCTTTCGGTACAGGTGAAGTACTTGTGGAAGGAAGGGCAGAAGCCACACGCCGGAATAGCTGTGTGTGTGTGTGTGAAAGGTGACAAAAAAAGAAAGGAAAAAAACAAGGTCAGGTTCAGAGGCTGGAATAATTCAGGGCCTTTGGGCTACCTGATGGGAGATGAACCTTGCCCCCCACCCCACAAAGGACAAGCCAAAGGTATCCCAAAGAGTAAACAGTGGTGGTAGCTACAGACAGAGTGCAATTAAAGTAACATAAAAAGAAACAAGTATTACCTTGTCCACATTGTAACTGGTTTTGGCACTGGTCTCAATAAACATCACGTTGAGGTTTCTGGATTTTTCTTCACCCTCTTCTGCAGTGACTTGTCTGGACAAATTAGAATTGATGAAAAGGACCAGAGTTAGTGGATAGGGATACAGTCCTCTGAGGTGTAATGATGCTTACTTAGAGCAAGGAACCCTAGAAGCCTTAAACCTATGATCCTTCTGATTACAGCGTGGGGACTCTCTCCTCTACCCCCCACATATCCTTGTGCCCTCATGGGACGTGTCCCTGTCCTTCCCCTCCTGCAGTGCTGCTGGGGGGCACAGGGAGCCAGGGTAACTCCTCCCCAAATAAATCGAGCACAGTCGACCCTCCCCATAGAGACTGAATTTTAGGTATGCCAGAGGAAGCTGTAGTTATACTTTACCTTTTGCTATTCAAATCAATCTTGTTACCCACCAACATGATGACAACATCGTCACCTCTTTCTGCTCGAACATGTTCTACCCACTTATCTGTCTCCTTAAAAGAAGTGATGTCTGCAAGAGAATATGTGGCAGAGTGTTGAAACATTTAGTAGAGATTTGGAGGGAACCATTCCTCTCTGCTAATTGTATCCATCTCCCTGTCACTTCCTTTTCAAATAAAACATTGCACAACACCCACTTGTGACATCATAGACAACCACTGCGATAGTTGAACCACGAACGTAGCTAGGAATCAGGCTGTGAAAGCGCTCCTGGCCAGCTGTGTCCCATAGCTGCAGCTGAACCTGTGTAAAACAAATGTTTAGGAAGAAGATGGGGAAACGTAGAAAAGAAACTAGCCTTTGTAAAAAGATCAAACCTAGTAAAGGCAGAATATCAAAAGTCAGGGAGACTGGGTCCCTGAGAAGCGGCTGCTGTGGCCTGAAACCAAGTGGCCTATAGTCCTAGGACAGGTGCAACCAATTTTAATATACTGATTTGATTCAGGAAGACCCTATAGCACAGCAGATTTAAGGATTCAAGGTCTCTTGGACTTTATGGATGTTATAATTGGAGATTAGATGACGGCAGACAGAACAAGAAACCTCATAGGGCTTGGTAAGTTGAAGAGGCTTCCGTTTTCTTGATGGTGCTACCCTACTGTGATGAATAGGCTGAAGGGGCTGGTGTAGGGTTAGTGGTATGAGCGTTAACACTCACCATTCGGTCCTCCAAGCACATGGTCTTAGACAAGAAGTCAATTCCAACAGTTGCCTGCAAAAGAAAGTCAGGTACTCTCCGGCATTCCCTCTATTCCCAACATGAGGCAGTCTTAGAAGCCGAAGTGGAGAATGACCGTTTAGGAAAATGTCCCGGCTCCACTTCCCAACCCGTACAATACATAACCTTGAGGAGGAGAATCTCCAGGTGAGTCCGCCAAGAAGAGGGGCTAAAATGTACCATATGGCTCGGCGGCGGCGGGCTTACCTGGAAGGTGCAGCCGAAGCTGTCGTACATGAAGCGGGTGATGATGGATGTCTTCCCTACTGTGAGGGAGATAAGCAGGCCAATCGTCGCCCCGGGTGCCCTTTCTCCCCTCAAAGTTTCTATGAGCCCTCCCTCCCTCCTCCCACTCCAAGGTTTCCCAACGAGGAGGAACTCGATTCCCCGGAGAAAGCCCCGCCCCATTTAATGCCATTCACACCTTCCTGTCCCCAAAGCCCAACCCAGACCCGCACCGCTAGGCTCTCCCAGGAATACGAGTTTAGCTTTGCACAGAGACTGGTATTCCGGTCCTTCGGCAGCCTTGAGGCCAAAGTCTCCGGCCTCCAACCAGCCCTCGCGGTGACCGAAGGCAGACATGGCGTCAGCTAGGTAGGTGGCAGCCAAAATGGCTTCCGGCGCTCAGCCCGTGCCACCTGACGTCACGCGGCGCTCTACCGACGTCGGCTCACGGCCATTGGCTTGGCAACCGACGCCTGGGCGTGGCCACGCCCCCTCGGCCCCCTCCTGGCAGCTCGCGCTGCTCCTCGTGTTCAGAGCGATCCTATGACCGTTCCAGTGCGGTCATGGGGCGGAGACAGGGATGGCCACTGACTGTGTCAGAGAGAAATGGGGGTCAGTGTAGGGGAAAGCATCGGCTAAGTGTAATGTAGTCACAGCGAAGGGGTGGGGGAAGGGAAGGTCATTCTCAGTAGTTCCATGACCCTCCAGTTGGAGGAAATAGGCAAGAGATCACCAGGCACATCTGAACAAGCTGATTTATTAGAGTGTTACAGTGGGGGCTCCCACACAGACGGGCACCAGAGCAAGGTGCTCAGCTCCCCTCGTCTCCCTCCGCCTCCACAGCCTTCTGGCTGTCCTCCTCGCCTTTCCGCGTGAACTCCTCGATGACTATGTCCTCAGAGCTTGCAGAAGCAGCAAAAGAGAATAGAGGGTTAGCAACCGCTTTCTGGGTGTCCTCCGTGTCCACTGGTTTTTCCTGATCCCAGAAAAGTGATCCCCTCCCTGCTTCCCAGCTAGGCTCCTTGGCCCCCTCTTGATGCCCCATCCCCCATCCTCCATCACCCACTCTGGCTTGTTTCCTTTCGTTCCCGCCCAAATTTCCCAGCACAAGAGTTCCCCAGGCGCACTGGAAGGGAAATAAGGATGAGGAGTGGGAAGGGGGAAGGTATCAAAGAATGAAAGACGAAAGGGGCAGGAAGGTGGGGTATGCAGAAAGGGAACAGAGGGCATATTGAAAGCACCGAACTGTGACACGAAGCTAAGCCGTACGTTTACACTGGACCATGGGAAAGCATTTTCACATTTCCATCGTCATAACATGGAGAGTGGCAATGGGAAGAGGGGAATGGGGCTTCCAAGTCTCCTATTCCATTTACCTAGCGGCCTCTGCAGCAAGCATGGAGAGGGAGGGAAAAAAAAATGCAGCTGAAGCTGATTCGGGGTTCTTCAGTTCCCCGAAGAAGTATCTTTACCCTTTTCCCTCCCTTTCCAATCCTTCCTCCCCAGCACTCAGGACACACACAGTTCCCCTGAAAACCTAGACACCCAGCCTGCCTATTGCTATTCCATCCACAGCCAAACTGCTCGTCTCCAATTCATGAGATCAGAATGCCTTGGACCTCAGCCCTCAGGAAAACCCTTCCTGTGAGTTCCTCCGGATCACTCACCATGAGATGGCTTCGGGTGGATCAGGACCAAGGGTAGCTCCACACCAACATCGCTGCAAGGATCCCAATGTGGGGTGACATCTCATCTCTCTACAAACCCAACCCCTGGACCTCCCTCCCTTAGGTTTCCAGTCTTTGGATGCCCTCAGTCCCTCCCTTGTCCTCCTCTTCTTGCCCATGTCCCCCCACCCCATAGTCTCTTACCTGGCCGTCAGGTCTCCTAGGATGCTGTGGGTAGAATGACACCCAAAATTATTAGCAGCAAATAGAGAAGGGGCAACATAGTTTTAATAGGGAATGAGGGATCATAAGCCCTAATGAGCCATCCACAGAATGGGTTTCTGGAAGGGAAAGTGACTTGTTTGCTAGCTCACAGGTTTGGGAACCTGGTCTGTGAGAAGGGGTGAGGAATGGTTGGATTGGGTCAATCTAACCGGGAGAAAAAGAGAGGCAAAAAGCCCTTGACTCCTTAGCCCAAGACCCAGAACCCTCACTTACCCGCCACAGGACACCATCAGGTTGACTCTGACTTTGTAGGACACCAGGATCCCCAGCAGCTCTTTGTCCATTCCTGGTCTAATACTGGAGGGTGTAGTATTCATTTGGGGGTGTGTAGGGGCATTAGGAGAATTCATTCAGTCCCCAGTTTCTTCTCATGCATTCCCATCACCACACCGTATAACATTTAGTCTTCTCCCAGAATATCTCCCAGGCTCTAAGCTCTCCTACCCACGGAGACCACATTTGTCTCCCTAACATTCAGTTTTACCATGTCACCCTCTGCTCAAGAGCCTACCTTTTGAATACAACAACTACTCTGCCTGCCTTTCAAGACCCCTAACAATCTTGCCCTAGCTAGCCTCTCTAACACTTTCTGCCCTAACTGCTGGATACGACCTAAGCAGACCCATCTTCTCTCCGTGATCAGAACACGCCATGTGGATTCCCATCTTCTAGCCTTTGCCCATGCTGTGTTCCCAGTATAGAATGCTCCTTTTTTTCTACTGTTGGTAACTAGATCCTTCACATATTTCAGGATCTAACTCATTCTACCTCCTCCAGGGAGCTTGGGAAAAATCTCATCATTGCTCTCTACTGCTGATCTCTTACATATAAAATAACGCTGCTTGGATGATTTCCAAGGCTATTTCCAGTGTTCGCAGTCTATAGCTGCTTGATTGATAAGCCATGGGGAGGGATGGAGGGATTACACCTATCAGATGTTGGCAGGTGGTTTTTGCTGGGAGACACATCTAAGGCTATGGCCTCTGAGGGACAGGACCAAGTGAATGACATCCTAGTTCTATTAATTTCTGTTGCATCCTTTTCCTTTGTTGTCCTCCTTTTTCTCCATTTCTCATCTCCTATGCTTCTACTGCATTTTCATGTTCTCTAGAGAGTCGATTCTGTAGAGATCACAATATTCAGAGCCGGAGGACATGTGATAAAATCCTGTCTGCTTCTACCTCTTATTAGTCATGCTACCTTAAACCAGTTCTTTCTTCTCTCTGAGACTCAGGGTCCTTAAATGTAAAAGGGAGTAAGAACATCTATCCAGGCTACTTTAGTGGGATTCTCACAAAGATGACATAGTACATATGTAGGACCTCGATGAACTGTGAAATCTTATACAACGTAAGGATTGCTTTCCTCCCCGTGTTTTCCTTTCTTTCCACCTCTGACGTAAGCCTGCCGTTGGTCCCATGGGCATTACTGAGCTTGCTACTGGCCCTCGATCCTGGAGGGGTCTGTGAACACTGCCCTAGAGACAGTTTAAAAACAGGTAGGCTTCACTGAAGATGAAACCTCAGAGCTGTGTATGTAGGAGTAGGAAATGGAGGCTGAGAGTTACATGTGAGCTTACATCGTGCTAGAGGCCAGGTTGGTATCCTCATGCTTGAGTTTCCCATCCAGTGCCAGGCCCCGTTTCTGGCAGCTGGCAGCCAGGATTGGAGTTACTGCAAAGCTCTGGGAGAAGTTGGAATTAGCAGCTACAGTCTCCCTTTGAAAGATGAACAAGAGAAGGGTTTAGAATGGGTTTGCCTACTCAGTACACTTTTACTCTCAAGAGTATCTTGTACAAGATTGTATGAGAACCTACTGGAGAATCCCAGAGAGGTGACATGTTTAACTGTGAAGACTGGGAGAAATTCATTCTGGTTGGAAATCCTTATGGTTCTGCCCTCGCTCAGCATTTTGATGGGACTCCTGGGGGTAAGTTGTGTCCCCTCCATCCCATTGTCCTCGGAATCCCTCCCATTCTCTACTATAGCCTTCATCTTAAACTTCCCCATTCTTCGGAACTTTCCCTCCCTTTTGTCTTCCCACCTTCTCACCAGCCTACTGGACCTCTTCCCAACACCCGACCCTTTAGCTCTTTGACCCCAGCCCCAGTGCCAGCTTACGTGAATTCCTGAATGAACACAGTCTTGGAGTACTTGTCTAGTGAATACAGGACAACATCAGTGACCTGGTCGACTGAACAAGTCAGGAAAAATATATGATTACAATCAATAAGTCATTTTTGTGACCCCAGCTTACTGTCCTTAGAGGTGACCTTACACACAGGTACACTATACATCATGTAGTAAGACGTGGCCAGTGAGAAAACGAGATGTGCATTTTGACAGATGTGGGATAGAGGGAAAGCCTAGATGAATGCAGACAGGTAAGTGAGGCAGAATTGTGGAAAAAGACCTGTGGCTTTGGGACCAGGTGCAGAGGGATGGGAAAAGAAACTCACCGGAAATCTTGATTCTTTTGATGACCTTGTTGGTGGAGTTGTTGATAGAAACATTGACGGAGATGGGTTCTCCGTGGTAGTGAACCTAAAGCAGGAGGGGGGCCCCATGTCAAGTTTGGAGGACGAATACACAGATGGAGACCTATAAACCCTGTTTCCTTAGCAGTCTTGCCACCCTGGCTCCCATCTCTGCCTGCCCACGTAGGTTATCAGTGAAGAAAGGGCATCAGAGGGGATGCTGGGGCAGGAGGCAGGAAGTGAGGGTAACAAACCTCCCTGTCCATCCAGGCCTGGAGTTGTAGGGGCTGAGCTGATAGAAGAAAGCGGCGGACGGTCTGGGCTGAGGGGCCAGGGCCTGCCTCCGGTGGTGCAAATTGTACTTTCCGGACAACCAGTCGCACATAGTCTCTGAGCAGAGACCAAGGGATCAGCCAGAGCATCCTCCTTTCAGACCCACAGCCCTCTCCCATCCCACCCGCACAGCCCAACCCTTGCTTAAGAATGGGAATAGAGGAAGGTCCCCCTCAGAGAACTCCTCTAGACCCTTAATGTAAGTATGTAGACCAAAGGTTGGTAAACTATGGCCCACTGGCCAAATCTGGCCTGTTGCCTGTTTTCCTATGGTCCAGGAACTGAGAATGGTTACACTACATTTATAAATGGTTGAAATAAATCAAGGAACAATAGTATTTTACGACATGTGGATATGACATGAAATTCAAATTTCAGTGTCCATAAACAAAGTTCTATCGGACACACAGCCACACTCATTCATTACTGTACCTCCTGTGGCTGCGTTTGTGCTACAACAGCAGAGTTGCATAGTTGCAACAGAGACTACATGGCCCACAAAAACCAAGTAGTTATTTTTTGGACCGTACACAAAAGTTTGCTGACCCTTGCCCTAGAGCAAAGAAGAGAAGTCAGAGGGGACTCAGGAACGGGCG